CAAATTTTATTTTTTATTTATTTCAGGAATTTATATCTTGCCATTCTCCCACAATGGGATTCAAGGCGGGATAAAGAGCCAACAAATGTTTAAAGGGAAAATCAGAATTAGATTCTCGGGCATTTTATAGCACTAATCATCCTGTGCTCAATAGGAGGTCTCTAGGCACAATTGGGGATTCTCTTTCCACAAGGCTGGTCCTACCATTAGACAAAGGAGGCACATCTTGGGTTTTATAAAAAGGGCAACAAACTGTTCGTTATTTACTTTGTTGTTATTATATTTCTATTACCAGGAATGAGGGAGAGATCTTAAAGGATTTTTTTGCCTCATGTGCCAAAATAATATGGCTGGCTTTGTTGTTGTTGTTGTTGTGTGCCTTCAAGTCATATCCAACTTATGGCAACCCTAAGGCAACCCTATCATGGGGTTTTCTTGGCAAGTGGGTACTATATATAGTGGGCCTTTGGTATCCACTGGGGTTTGGTTCCAGGATTCCCCATGGATACCAAACTCTGTGGATGCTCAACTCCCACTGTATACAATATACAGTTTGCATGAACTCTTTCAGACCTTTTGACAAAAAATGCAAAATCAGCTGTATAGGCAGTAGATGTCATTGTGTTTCTCCACAGTGTTGAGTTCACTATTAAGTGGTATAGTGAAGTGGTACATGCTGTTACTATTAATATTACTAATGGGGGAGGGGTTGAAGGGGAAAAAGTTTGAGTACTATTGCGCTATGACATAGTTTTTATCTATCTTTAGAATTACCAGGACTGTGTAAACTGTAAACATATGCAGGGGTAGCCATGTTGGCCATAGAGCAAAGTACAATGACATCCAAAATCCACAAAATAATGATACCAACCAAAAATCACAAAATACAAGTTGCAAGCTTTCAAAACCTACTGGCTTCTTCATCAGGCAAAAGGTGTTTAAAATATCATATAGGAGAAAAAATATGACAAAATTAGCCACAGGTAAAATACAAGAAAATTAGCCATGGGGAACCAAGCAGTTAAGATATGGCTTCTCAGACCAGCCTTCATTCCCATTTATTCTAGATGAATCTGAGAAGCCATATCTTAACTGCTTGGTTCCTAAACTACAGTTTACCTGTGACTAACTTCATCGTATTTTTTTTCCTCCTATATGATTTTTCACCCTTTTTACCTGATGAAGCTTTGAAAGCTTGCCTTGTGTATTTTGTGCATTTTGGTTGGTGTGGACAGTAAGGCACTCTCCAGGGAAAAGAAAGAGAGTTTTGTGGATCTGAGGGTGCTGGGAAATGTATATAGCTGTGGTGTTAAAGATGAAGAAGCAGCTGCAGTTAGGATGCTGTAAGCCAGGAAAAATAGTTAGGGCAGCTGGCCAGAGACGTCAAAATATACGGTATGTGTAAGAATTAGGAGAATGATTCAGGACATTTAGAATATAAATACTGAGAAAAGGTTGCTTTTGTACAATTAAACTGTGTAGGGCAATAGTCTAACCACAGAATAGATATGGGATACTTAACTGTAGGCTGTGAGTCAACTGTCTGCCTTTATTTCCTGTCTTAGAAAAAGTGCATGGGTCTATCGGCTTTGCATTCTTTTTTCCACATTGTGCCAGGTAATGATTAACCAGAATGTGTATAAAATACCTTCGAGTGAAAAAGTAAAGTTTCGAACAGTAACGAACCAATTAAAATGTAAACAACAAAAATGGCCATGTTTTAGTCATGGCTTCTCAAAGAATACAGTACCATCCTGTTGAATATCTATGAGACTTACTCTATACATATTTTGAACTTCAATGTCATTATCTCTTTTCTTTTAAAAATAGAGACTATTCATGCTTAATTGCAGCGTTAGCATTAGCATTATAAAGACAAATATTTTAAACCAAAGGTTGGTCACCTAAAAAAAAAAAATTAACCATAGGCAAGTGCATCTGTGAGTCAAGAGACCAAGTTCACTGTTCAGACAGTTATGCTTTAGGAGCTCATTCAACCCAGTAAAGTTTGCAGTCCAGACTTACAATAAAAAGGTTTAAAATTAAACTCCTTTATACAGGAATCAAGGGAAAGGAACCAGTCTTGCATAAAGGCCGAATAATAAAATTCCAAATCTCTTCCTCATAGGAAACAGGTGGGGTAGGGAGTGAGTTGTCCTTTTTATGCCTTTGCTGAGTCAGAGATGCAGGGAAGAATGAATGAGTCCAGGTTTTTCCTTTTCTCTTGAGGTTAATAATGTCAGCTGCTGGAGGATGTATATGGTGGTTTAGGCGAAATTGCTTTCTACTTAATGGTCCTGGAGTGCACTGGTGCAGAAGCTCAGATGCCAGACCCAAAGGAGCTCTCTCAAGCCAATGGAACTTTTCTCATTAGTCCCCATGCCATGGCTTGTCTCTATATGTCCAGAACAAAGAACTCTTACCATTTGGTACCAGAAGTCCCAGGCTGCATCTGCACTGCAGAGATAATGAAGTTTGACAGCACTTTAACTGCCATGGCTCAATGGTATGGAATTCTTGGATTTGTAGTTTTGTTAGTCTGTCAGAGAGCTTTGCTGCCACGACAAACTACAAATCCCAGAATTCCATACCAGTGCAGATGAGGCCCCAGATGCCATGCTGGGGTGGAGGTGGGAATGAATTCTGGAAATAGTGATGCAAAAGAATTAACTTTCCCAAACTCTGACTATATCAGAATATTTCAGTTAATGAGTTAATTCAGTTAAAATTATTCTGTTAAGCCAGCCAGAAAGCCTGGACAACATCATACTACACTGTTATAGTGCTGTTATTCTACTTTAGCCACTATAGCTGCCTCCTGTGGAATTCTGGGATTTGCAGTTTTTGTTGTTTTTATTGTGGTTGTTAACTTCCCTCGAGTCGGCCCCGACTTGTGGCGACCTTGTGGATGAAACATGTCCAAAACCCCATATTCTCTACAGATCTAGTCTGGTCTTGCAGGTTCATACCCGTGGTCTCCCTGACTGAGTCTATCTATCTGTTGTGTGGTCTTCTTCTCATTTTACTGCCTTCTGTTTTTTCTAGCATTTTGGGCTGCATCCACACTGCATAATCAATCTGTTTTGACACCACTTTAACAATGTCTCAATGCTGTGGAACTCTGGGGATTGTATAGCAACAAATTACCAAGTGGTATCAAACCAGATTATTTCTGCAGTGCGGATGCAGCCATTGTCTTTCCTAATTATTCATGCCTTCCCATGATATGACCACATTATGACAGCCTCAGTTTGATTATCTTGGCTTCCAGGGAGATTTCAGGCTCAATCTATTCAAAGACCCATTTGTTCCTCTTTTTTTGGCTGTCCACGGTATCCTCAGCACTCTTTTCCAGCACCATATCTCAGATGAGTTCATTTTCTTTGCATTTTAGGGAAGAGCATTTGGAATTCTCTGCCAGGGAGCTCTTAGGCCTCCCTAAACTACAAACCCCACAAGTTTGGAGGCAGCCATAGCTGTTAATGTGGAATAATAGTGCTATAACCATGTAGTGTGATAATGCTGAAAAAGACTGGAATGACTTTTTATTTACAAAACTTTCAGGTTTCATTTATGAAAGCATATGCAAGTTTTTTATTAGGTAGAAAGGTGGGAAAATGTATTTAATTTGCTGAAAAGCAAAGTCACCATCTTCATGCAAATACTTGCAGCCAGTCCAAAAAGAAAAAAGAAAACCAGCATTGCTCTTTCATGCCCAAAGAATGTGGTCTACAAAGTTGTTATGATCCAGCAGGGCAGATGCTCTTTATGCATAGTCAGAAAAGGTTTGAAGTGTAGGTGGACAAGCAGGAGATGGCAACTATCAAGACATTGAGGTAGGAATTATTTCAGCTACATTAGGAATTCCCCAACATTCACGCGCGCACACCCTTGCCACAATAAATAAAGCCTAGGAAATCCCCCGTGTAGTTAGGGCTCCCCCCAGTTTTTGGAGTATTCATCATTGCATCGCCTGGAGCGCACAAAGTTACACCAGTGTGCCAGACAAGGATAATGTTGTCTGTGCTTTCTCCGGCTGAAAGAGCTGCATCATAACAAACAGGCCTTCTCTCCAGCCCTATGCTCAGTTCCTATCTGTCCAAAGATCAGCCCAAATCACTTTGCATTAAGGCAGCCAAACATCACTCATTTCCAAACAGGTAACACCGAAACTTTAAAATAGGAAACATCAACAATTGTACAAGAGGATATAAAAATGAGATGGGGGGGGTGTTGGTTGTTTGTTTCTTTTCTTGTGTTTGTTATAGACAGAGTATATAATACTTCACTGCATACTGTAGACTAGAATTGCAGCAACTGCAAATTCTTGTATGTTACTCATAGATTTGTGTTTATGTTGAATTTATGCCTAAGCTCTATGGTTCATATTCATACTGGCTTTCTTTTCCTGATTATTTTCTATCCAACCATCTCCTACTGCCTTTTTCATCTTATCACGCACAGCTCCAGAAGGCCCCATAATCTTTTGGGAGGCCATGGGGATAAGGATTAGTGAAAATCTGAGACTTTACCTTGTGGCAGAGGAAATGTCATCTGCTTGCTTAGAGGAGCCAACAGATACCCACCCAATGGTGCCATTTCAGGCAATCCAGGTTATCACTACCATTGGCTTATAATGGCAGTTCATCTTAACAGTGCTAAACACATCCATTACCTGAGAAGTAATGAATCTGGGAGCCATTCACCCTGAACCCACTAGGTCAGTAGTTCCCAAATGTTGGTTCTCCAGATGTTTTGGACTTCAACTCCCAAAAGCCCTGGCCAGCTTAGTCAACAGTCAGGAATTCTGGGAGCAGAAATCTAAAACATCTGGAGGATCAGAATTTAGGAATTACGGCTCTAGGTGGCACACACCTTGCTGTTGCTGTTACTGTTGTTGTTGTTGTTGTGTACCTTATGGCAACCCTATCATGGGGATTTCTTGGGAAGATTTGTTCAGAGGAACTTTACCATTGCCTTCCCCTGAGGCTGAGAGCATGTGACTAAGCAGGGAATTGAACCCTGGTCTCCAGAGTCATAGTCCAACACTCAATCCACTACACCACACTGGCCAGCTCCAGCAAAACATGATGGCACAGCACTGGCAAAATACAATGTCTTTTGAGGTTAAAATGCAACTTCCAGGTGAAACAGTAGCCTCACTTATGCCTAGAGGTAGGACTGGCCCCATAAAATGACACATGCAGAGCAATGTGGTAAGGGTGGAAATGAGATTAAGTTAGATTATTAGAAACCCAAGAATATGATCCAAAGAAAGTTAAGTACTTGTAGGTTCCACTCATTTTGATGGATTATTTTAAAAGATGAAAATTCAAAAATGCTTCACTTTCACTGACTTCTTCCCAGAGATTAGCTGGAGTGTTCTAACCACTTCAGTTTCCTAATGTTCTTTGACTCCCAGAAAATAATCCAGTGGCATCAGGTGTTAGGGATTCTGCACTAAAATCATGCAAAGTACATTTGTATGTGTTACTACATATTCAAAGCATAAACCTGTTTTTAAAAGATACATGTTATCCAATCAAAGAGCAGAAGGCAAGCCTCCCAAATTAGATCTCCAATTAAAAATAAAATATGCAGCAGCAGCTGTTTCAGATTTCTTGACATCAAAAAGTAGCAATGAGTTGCTGTAGGTTTTAACAGTGAAGAATTATTCATAAAGAACTTGTGATGAATAACTCCAGTAATATGGAACAGATGAAAAGGGTGCATTCTAATGATCACTGCCTCCCTGGAATAGCTGCTGCGAGATAAGCTTTGGATGTCATTACTGATGTTGCTAGATTTCCTAAGCACTGTTAACTCTGACTGGAGCTGCATCCACACTACAGAAATAATCCAATTTGACACAACTTTAATTGCCATGTTTCAATGCCATGGAATCCTGGGATCTATAGTTTGTTGTAACCCCAGAGCTCTCTGACAAATACCTCACAAAATTACAAATCCCAGAATTCCATATAATTGAGCCATGGCAGCTAAAATGTGGTGTCAAATTGGATTATTTCTGCAGTGCAGATGCACCCTATGCTGTATATACCTGTATTTAACCTACATTATTCATTGTTTATATCCCTGCCCCATTGTTTGGCATCTTGTGGTTTCCAAGGCCACCTTGGAACATTGTGAAAGACTCAAGTAAAGGATCGTTTAAAACAACCAAGAGTTACTAAGATCCAGCACTTACAAACCCAAAAAGTCCACTCTGTATGCTCCATGCAAAAAAATAATAAGAATAAAAAAAATCATCTTATTTGTTAAACTCTTTTTCCAACTGCATGAATATTTTATATGTATGCATATATTCAGGCAGGCAGATTAATGGTGCTCCAAATTCTTAATATCCCTTAGTATTAACAAATACTGCCAGATTGTTTCAGGCAAAATTCAAGTTGCTGGTTATGACATATAAAGGCCATCTGGCAGACCATATCTTTTTGTATAAGATGGCCCAGGCTCTGAGATCTTCAAGAGAGGCCTTCCTCTCAGTCCCACTACCGTTACAGGCTTGGTTGGTGGGGACACGGAGAGGGCCTTCTTGGTGACTGCCCCTAGACTCGAACTCTCTTCCCAGGGAAAGTAGAACGGCCCCCTCCTTGTTGTCCTTCTTTCGGCAGCCTAAGACGCTTTTATTCAGACAGGCTTTTAAAGGAGAAAGGTTTTAAAGAACAGGCTAGGAGGTGTTGTGTTGTTTTAACTGAAGTGTTGTAAAGAGCTTTTTATATTTTTAACTGCATTAGATTCTTTTAATTGAGGGTGAATTGTTTTAATGCTGTAAGTAGTTTATTTCTATATCAATGTTAACTTTTGGTATGATTTAATTGTATTATTTTTTTAAAATGTGAGCTGCTTTGAGTCTCAATTTTAGGGAAAAACCAGGATAACAATAATAATAATAATAATAATAATAATAATAATAATAATAATAATAATAATAATAGAAACATTGTGAGCCAGTATGGTGTTGTGGTTTGAGTAGTGCTGGACTATGGCTCTGGAGACCAGGGTTTGAATCCCGGCTCAACCATGTAAACCCATTAGGTGACCACATTATTCAAGTAACTGGCATTTTATTTCATTTCAGGATTGGATGTTTAAAACATTTATACAGTAGCATATCTGATATTTAGTCTAGTGCTCTCTTTTAATTTTGAAAATGCATGAGTTGCATGATGGATGTCCATTTTTTAAATAACAAATGGATAAAAAGTAAAAATGAAAAAAATTACAACTGGGTAGAATGCAAAGGCTTGAAAAAGAATTGGTGCCACATGGTGCTATAACCTCCTATTACAGCAGAATACATAATTGTAAGTACTGCTGTGGAAGGAAGTATCCAGTACCTCCTTGTGCAAGGATCCCCTATGTGCAACCACCACCATTCCCCACATGCCAGGAAGCACCTGCCCAGTCAATCAGTGGCCAGTGGGAGTCAGGGAATCTCGGGCATAATACACTCACAGCTTGCAGTCAGACCTAACAGATCTGTGTTGGATATTTGGGAAAATGATGGCTCTTTTTTTGGCTCTTCTTCTCTTCCAGCTACAAAACCATTCCCACTGGTCACTGACAGGCCATGTCTAACCCATTAGTTTGTCCAGTCCACTCTTGCCTACACTGACTGCTAATGACTTTCCTGAGTATTTCTTAGAACTAGTACTATCTATTTTATAGCTCACCTTTTTCTCAGCAAGGATTGACTCTCTTGTAACTAGAGACAATCCTAAACTTTGTGTGTTAATAAATATGTCCACTGGAGTATAAAAATATGGTTTACAGTATCAGGAAGAGAATCATATTATAAAGTATGATCTATCCGGAAATATCTGAAAAGCCTGAGCGGTAACAGATGTTTTTGTCTCTGAAAAGCTGGGTTCTGTTGTATTTGCTGATATCACACAACTTAACAGCTAGTATACATATAATAGAAAAAAAATTCTTCTATTGTCTTTCAGATTCTGAATGTGGAACAAAAATACACGAGAAGTGGTCTGCATGAAAACAAGTTGTTTTATACAATTTCTGTGCCAGCCAGTTCACACACCACAAATACAACTGTAGTGACTTTGAAGAGTATCCTGTGTAGAACTGTAAAGTCCCTGGGTAACTTGAGGGATGGATACAGTCATCCAGATCTCCGAGTCACTATAACCCCTGTCACTCTGAACGGTAGGTTCCCTATCCATCCATGTCTGATTCATGCCCATATTATGGTAAACAATGATGTAGTAAATGCTGTTAATGTTATAGGCTAGAGGTATGAAACAATGACAGCATCACTTCATTGTTCAGCTGAATATATATATATATATATATCTATATATATATATATATATATATCTGAGTGTGATGACCAATGGTGGTGAAAACTGGCTGACAAGTAAAAGGTATCATGAAGAGAAAATTGCTCATGATTTTAACTATGTTTAAGTAGAGTGAGTTGACTACATTGAGATAAATATGGTAGATTCGGAGATTAGTAAGTATATAGATTTTATGAATGCTGAAAATGTACATTACAGTTTGGTGATTATTAATTTGTAGTGAGAATGGAGTGAAGCATGTAAGGGCATAAGGCTATAAGCAATAAAGTGTGTTACCCTGTTGCAGTAGTGACAACTATAGCTGTGACATTACAGCATTCATAAAATCTATATACTTACCATTCCTTAGAAATGAGTTCCTTGATCTTGCATCCAGCAAGACAGTTTATTCCTAACTATGAAAGACCAAATTATGGTTTTTCATAATGGCTGGGATGGACTCCCAATTATGCAGAACAGCTGAATACGACACTGCTGTGGTCATGCATCCAAATTCCTAAATAATATTTTTGAAAAAGCACAGTACCACCATTGGCCTGCCAAACCTTCCTGCCACCAGAAGATGGCAGCACTTTCTGTCAACACAGCAATTGATCAAACCATTCTTTTAAATTACAAACTTTGTTATCCCCTGATCATCCAGCTGTGGTTCAGTGGCTCAGCTGTAAAAACTCTGGGTTCCAGCATAGCTGTTTCAACCCCTATCCCATCTTACTGTTTAGGGTCCCATTTTCCATCTTCCTTTCTTTGCATGCATATTGCTCTGCTAGGTCAGGTGTCAATTGTCTTCCTCAATCCTTCTCAACTGTTTCCAAGATGAATACTATGTACAGAATATGGGGGGGGGGGGTGCATGTAGTATGTAGTATGGGAAAGGTTTTTGAACAGTTGGCAATATGGGCTTTATTCAGGAACAAGGTTATTTCTTTAAACAAACCAATGAGAAAAAGATAAAGAAATAGAAAATTAAAAATATTACTCTTACCTTTCAAGATTTCTAACCTTATGCTGCTGTTGTGTGCCTTCAAGTCATTTCCAACTTATGGTGACCCTATCATGACCATATCATAGGATTTTCTGGATTTTCTGGGTTTCCATGGCCAAGCAAGAAATCTAAGCCCTATCTGCAGAGTCCCATGGCCTTTGTAGACTGCAAGAAATAGTGCAAATTGAGTCCACTTTAACTGCCCTGACTCAGTGCTAGAGAATCATGGGAACTGTAGTTTATTGTGGCACCAGAGCTCTCTGACAGAGAAGGCTCAATGTCTCAGAAAAAAATACAATTCCCATGATTCCCTAGCACTGAGCCAGGGCAGTTAAAGGGGACTCAATTTGCACTATTTCTAGCAGTCTGCAAAGGCCCTTAGTCTGACTATTAAACCATTACACCATGCTGCCTCTTTTATAATCTTATAGTAAACTACCTGCCTCCTCCACCCAGGAGGATTTGTGCTTGATTATGTGTTCAGCTGCTTTGGCTCCCACTACAGCTGTTGTCAGGTGCATCCAACACTCCTTTTGTAGTAGTCTCATCTACACTGTAGAAATAATGCACGTTGACACCATTTTAAGTGCCATGGCTCCATCCTATAGAATCCTGGGGTTTGTAGTTTTGTGAGACACCAGCACTCTTTGGCAGTCTGAATGCACTGCAAAATGACAAATCCCAGGATTCCATAAGATGAAGCCACAGCACTTACAGTGGTGTAAAACTGCATTATTTCTAC